TAAGAAGGTTCTGGAAAGGCTGCAAATAAAAAGAGAATTACTGAGAGAAATAAAAAAAGAAACTATTGAAACACCTTAGCCATATTAAAAGACATAATACACTTTTAAAAACCATACTAGAGGGAAAAGTCAAAGGCTAGAGAGCAAGAGGTAGACAATGATACAAGTGGGAGGGCAGCATCAAGAGATGGACGGGCAGCAGTATGAGAGAGGTTACAACTGCGACAAGAGAAAGAGCGTGCTGGAGATCCACTGCAGCCAACCTTCACTGTGGATACTGCACCTGATTGATTGATTTAAAAAATAGTAAGATCTATCATACAGACAGGGGCATTACCAACTTAATCAAAATCAAATCCTTCTGATAGACCAAAAAACCTAATCTTCCATCCTAAAATTTGAGTTTCCAAAATCTTCCACTGTTTTGTCTTAGACATACATACTCATAAGCCTTCTATAGAGCATTTCTATTTGATACTGCCAAATCCTTTCATACTAGATGTGAGACAGTTATTTGTGACTCAAGCCTTTTTTGGTGTACCTCCTGAAGGGTTTATTTTAGATTAAAGAAGCTTTTACTTGTGAATCTTGCAATCTTATTTATGCCATCATCTACACACACAAAATGCAAATGGATGTGTTTTGGGGAAATAGTAGGAAGTTAGCAGTTTGTTTCTGTGAGCATCTTATAGGTATCCACAATGCAGCTCTTGATCAGTCTCCCTCCATTTTAATAGTTCTGAACACCCATGCAAATTTGATATCTCATTTACTGACCTAAAATCTTGCTCTGGTGAACAGTCCTGCAAACTCTCTTTGAAAAATAACTTCATTCATAGTTTCAACATTTTCAGTCCTGCAGAGATCAATACTCAGCAACTTCTTCTTCGCTTCCACCATTTACCTCACCGAGGTGTTAGGGCAAGATGTAAGGATTGTTTGTGCACTTTTTTCCAATGCATTGTACAAGTTGGTGTTTATTTTTGTTAGGTTGCTCCTGATGATGTCGCTCCATATCTTGCGTGATCTTTTCCTTGCTCTGTGTTCATTATATTTCTTCAGCATGGCTCTCTGTGGCAGTTGGTACCAGGGCATTCTTGTCAGGTGGCCAAACCATAACCTTTGTTTTCGCACATTGTATGTTTATTTCCCTATGCATTCTTCAATATGAGGTGAAAAATTACCCTAGATACTTAAATTTGCTCTTCTGATTTATTTCTATGTTAGTTACTTTAATTGATATGGTTTCTTCTTGTCTGCCTATTACCATTGCACCTGTCCTATCAATGCTTATCTTGACTTGGTTTATATGGTTCTGTAAACTCTTGTCTGTTTCGGCTATTAATACTTAGTCATCTGCAAATAACAATTCTGAGATATCATCTTTTTCTTCGCTCTCTGCTTCTTTGCATATATTGTCGATGTGTGTTATAAAAAGCATGGGACAGCACATATCCCTGTTTTACTCCTGAATCTACTTCAAAAGGCTGCGATGTACCTGCTTTTGTATAACCTTTCAGAACAACTTTAATCATTTTTTTTTTAAATTTATTTCAACTGTTTACTTTTATATTTGTATTTCTCCACATTTTTCAGGCACCTTGTTATTTGTTTTGTTTTTTCTTCATATTTTCTTCAATTTCTATTATGCATTTCTGGTTCTATGTTTATCCTGGCTGTTTATAAATTCAACTGTCCATTGATAACGACTTTGGTCAAAATATTCAGTTGTATATGTGTGCATCTTTTCCATTACCTCCTTTAAGCCAGTTTCAAAATGAAACTTATTAACAACTGTGGATACAGCTTCATGTGAAATCAACAACTTAAACTCTGCTGCTGGATATGTGGCACTGTTAGCTGACATTAGTCAGTGGATATTTTTTATCAGTGGATACCACGTGAAGACTTCAAGACACTGTGTCCAACTGACTGTACAGCTGCAATGACTGAATGTAAAGGAAAACATCAGGCTGGAGAAAACACATCTGCACAAATACAGCGTCTATATAAGAAAAGCACCCCATCAAATCACCATCAGCAGTTAAAACAGAAAAGGGTTGTGATTGTCAAACAGAGTGAATGTCAGCAAAAATGTCACTGGAGGCCACACTCACAAAATACTTTGAAGTCTCTTGTTGTCAGCTTACATATTTCACACATATGCACGCACACAGTGTGTTCAATTAAATATTATTCAGCAAATATTATTCACTTGATTCTTGTACTGCTATAAATCCCTAGAAGCCTGTGTCATGTATGTACTTATGGCCTTTGTATGGTTGCATTCCGTTTTTACAATGGGTGTTCCTGTCTCAATCAACAGGATTTTATTACCTGCTATATTATGTATATAAATTAGATTTACTTTGACCTTATGAGGTAATCCCTACAATTGCCTCATTACAGGGCTGAAGAAAAGAAAATCCTGGATGGCACAAGTACAAGATTTAATGAGCAATGTGTAAATATCTGGAAAAAAAAATAGGTGAAGAGGAGTGAAAATTTTTTATTAATTTATTTACATTCTGTGGCTTTATATGTTGCCTTTAATAAGTTACAAACTTTCTGTAGGATCCTACATGTCTTATCAATTTCTCTATCAGTATGTCAAAATAATTTCTCTATCTATTAATTTTGTTTTTCTTCATTATATGTGTGCTTAATATTTTCACAGGAAATGAAAATATTTATAATTTTTCTATATGACTCAGAAACCCCTGCCCCCCTCTCTCCAAACCTTCTTTACAATCACTTCAGTTGTCCAAACTTTACCAAATAAATGTGTGTAGCAAATTCTTCTTCTTTTTTACGTCCTCTTTTACCACTGGATGTTGAGGGAGATATAAGGTCCTGCTTCATGCTCTTCTGGCTGTTTCGACCATAGACACATTGTGGTGCTGTAGAGTTTCTATGATGTTATCTTCCCATCTTGTTCTTGGTCTACCTCTTGCTCTACGTCCCTCTTCTCTTTTGGTATGTGCCTTGTATGATATATCAGAAGGCATTCTCTCCAAGATGGCACACCATTTGATTTGCAGCCTTTGTATGTAATTTAGGTTGCACAGATGCCATTTTTACATAGAGACAACTATCAGAGAGAGCAAAAGAACATGAGAAGATATATTTGTTGAGATTCATAGACCAGGAATAAGCTTTCGATAGTCGATAGGAATATGCTGTGGGAATGTATTGGAGAAAAGGGAATCAGCAATCATCTCATTAATATTTGCAAAAGCCTATAAACATGTAGTAAATGCTACATAAGATCGAAGGCAGGATTGTCAAGAACTTTTATAGTGAACTCTGGTGTGCATTAGCGCTGTGTTCCATCTATTCTATGGAGACACTGATTAATGAATATTTGTAGTTTATTAGTAATTTTTCTACATGTTTCCACTCCATGGAGCAGCACGAATGTTAGAATTAACAACTTTAGGTTTAGTATTAGTTTTAAGATCTTTTGACCTGCACACATTTCCTAGTGCTATGAAAGCTCCTCTTGCCTTTTATATACATATTTTAATATCTTTATCAGTTCCTCTATCTTTATCCACATTACTGCTTAAATAGGCACAAGACTTAACATCTTGGAGTGGAATATCATTAAGAGAGATCAGACTACTGTTTGCCTGACTTATTCTCATTATCTTTGCATCTCCCTTTTGACCTAGTTGCTGTGATCTTGCATCAAGCATATTTTTCTTACATTTGATTCCATGAGTAGGACAGAAGAAAAATATAAGTGCAGTGAAGGTCATCAAGCTGTTTTGTGTGGAGGTCCACTGAATTCTATTCCTGGTGTTGGAAGTTGCTGGCTTAATAATATGCTATGTTATTATGATAAACCTCATGGCACATCTGGCATTCCCAGGTCCTTCAATGCAGCAGCCATTTTATTCTACTATCTGTTTTGATTTAAAGTCTGTCAAAATATCTCCTATCTTGACCTCAAAGATGGCACAGATGTACTTGATGGGTGCACTGGCAATGAGTGTATTCAAGGACAAACAGATAAACAGGCTTTTACTGCTTTCACCAGTGTTCTTAATTCTCAGCATAACTAGCAAAGTATGCATAATTCATGCTGCAGTGTTGTAATTTAATGCCTGTTTTTCTGCATCAATACACAAGGATATTGTCTGAATATGTCCTTGTACTGCTGTGACTTGAATTCTGTGCAAACATTCTCAGAAGTCTGCTAGCCAGTTTCTCACACTCACTATCTCTTTGTTTCTCTGAGAAGCATGGGTGTTGTGATAATAATTTACCAGTCCTATAAGATATCGGAGTGGATCTATGTTTGTGTCTAATTATGTCAATTGGCCCAGCTATAATGGTTTTCTTTTTTAAAACTCTTTGTCTTATTAGTGCTATTTTAAACACTAAAAAGCTGGGTATTTATCATGAACTTGCCCACATGGCGAGAGTTCCTTCCCCTTCTATTCATGCTGTAGCAGGTCGCACGGCCTGCCCTATGTTGTGGGGGTGTCATGCATTTTTTATTTTCAACACTTTAAATGTTGTCTATTTTCTACTGTTGTCATCGCTCACTTGTGTGATTTCCACGTTTTGCTACTGGCCCAACGGTTTGGGAGTATGGAAACTATGTTTATGTATTCCTACCTTCCTTGTCAGTGGCTTCCCTCCCCCCCCCCCCCCCCCCTCCAGGGGGAAGCCAACACTAAGAAAGGCAGATATATAAAAACATCCCAGTTTGGATTTTCACGAATATTCACTGCTTCCCCCTTCAGTACTTCTTACTTGTACACATGCGCCTGCCATGCCTGAAAGAGACTTACAAAAACATAACCTTCCATAAACATTATATACGGCGAGCGAGCGCCAATCAAAGCCATCACATAGCACCCCCACAACACAGGTCGTACGACAGGCCATGGCCCAAATGGGAGGGTAAGGAACTCTTGCCGTGCTGGCAAGTTTATGAAAAGTTCCCAAAGCTATTTTCTCATCAAATCTTCTTTTTAATGGTCACTCACCTCCATTAACATAATTGAACAAATCAGTGAGAGAAATATCTCGAAGTTTTCCATCTTTATAGAATTTTTGCAAAGACATTTCTTCAGCACCCAGCAAAAGTCTGTCAAGATCAGCACCAATATAGAGTACTCTCTCCTGAAGACAAATAAATTGATAAATCATATAAAACAAAATGGCCCTGCAAGAATCAATGAACTGAGTATCTACTATTTATCTATCAAACACATACAAAATGGGCAATTTATTTTCCTTCTCATATGTCATGTCAGTTAAGACCATATCTTCTTACTTCTTACAACTTTCATGCTATATTTCAGGAAATGAGATGGAAATTTTAGAATTTTAAGTAACAGTGGTGTTATTCTACAACAGATGCTTAGAAAAATATAAAGTACTTTACACGAATCTAAATCTCATTATAAGTCAAAATATATTTGCAATTATTAACAAAAAATATTTGTTAAAGAAAACTTAGATGTTCAATGTTTAAATAAGAATCAACATCACAGCATTCGGGACATTCCCATTAAGCGCTTCGTCCCTATCTTCTGCAGCAAGCGCAGAGTTCCAATTCCAATGGTACCAATAGCAGTTTGATTGTATATCCATCTCCCTTTTTGCTTGAGTGCTGACCGTTGATTAAATCCCCTGGTTACTCCCGCAGTACCATTCTATTCAGACCATGATGATACATCTGTGCTTCCACACTGTTCACTTGCCCCCAGAGGACCCTTACAAAATCTAGCTTTTCATCCACCAAATTGTGCAGAACCAGCCAACATATCTGTCTGTTCATTTTCTAATATTCTGGCATAAGGAAAATATCCAAAGGATGCTAACTACCTGTTAACTTAAGTGCTTGTATAAGAATTTCAAAGTTTCATCACCATAACGATCTCTCAGTTTATTACTTTTTCTTTGTACTTTAGGATTAAACTTCCCTGAATATTAAAGATGGCATTACATGTCTTTTCTGTTTTTCAAAATGGCAACGAGCAGCTGTGTTATCTTTAAATGGGTGTGATTTCTCTTGAACTGTTCTTTTATCATGGACTGCTATTTTGTGCAGATGTCAAATGCAGGATACCGTGTTTTTTTGTGTGGAAGCAATGTTTATTGTGGTTGTGCTATTTTGGAGCAAGATAATAACTGACAGATTTGGCAGCCTCGGCCACGTTGCCTTTGCAATGTTTTGATAACAGCTGCCCATTACCTGGAAAGACAGAATCTAATCAGTGGAAGACTGCAAGCTGTCTAAAAAGCTAACCTGATAAAAGCTTTCCCCAGAAACAGAATGCATCAACCTTTTTTAGGTGTGGAGAAATTGAAATGTACAGTTAACTCATTAAACAAACTGAAGTACTTCATGCTGGGTAACAATCAGGTGAAAGTGGATCTTATTCCCACATCTCAAACAGGTCTGCCCTTAGCCACCGACAGCACTGCGGCTTGCTGCATTGCTAGGAAAGGACACAGTATTACTACTAACTGCCAGGACACACCTCCACCCCTTCTAATCATGCAATGAAATGCTGAAGGTGGAGGTCAAACTAGAGGAAAGCATTTAGGCAGTGAAAGTCAACATTTTATGCATTTAAGAGACATAGATCAATCCAGGAAACAGATTCCATATTAGGGGATATGAAATATTTCGCTAGATAGAGAAACTAGACATACAGGTGGAGCTGCAATGCTGGTTTGTAATTCAATACTGGCTGCTAAACTGAACAGATCCAACCAGCTGAATGCTGAATGTAATTGAATGCACAGCTGTACAGCTGCAAATAATAAAAGAAAATAAGTCACTCTACAATATTTACTCACCGCCCACCCTCCCTACCAAACTTGAAGTTTTAAAGGTTCAAGACAGCAACCTGTTAATTGTAGGAGATTTCAACAGTAATTTTCTGAGATGGTGGTATGACTCTTTAGACTCCCATAGAGAAAATCTGTAGAAGTGACTAATCACCAACAGACACCCTTCTAAATCACCCTGATGATCGACATACACACTACTCTACAGGGCGGCCTTATCGAGCACACCTGATCTAGTGTTCGTGACAGATGACACACATAAAATATCTGTAACACAGGTGTGCGACCAGTTTGGTGGTAGTAACCACAAGCCAGTAAAGATTGTTATACACAGTATTAAAATCGAAAAATCTCCAGAAACTGCATCAAGTTAGATTTACAAAAGGCAGACTGGAAATTATTTCAAGAACTTGGAGACTCAAACTGAAAGTAATCAGCCTGTTAGGTAGTAAGGTAGACAGGGATGCACAAGAATTCAACAAGCCACAATGAATGCGGCAAAGATAGCGATTCCTAGATAAAAGTGACACAATTATAAGACATGTCAGTCAATAAAAGTTTTACACAGTTTGCTGTGATGCTAGAGATAGCATATAAGCTTATCCAACAGATGAATGTATGAAGCAATATAACAGAGCAAGGGCCCTTTATGTCAGAGAAACTTACAGTGTAGAAAATCCTGGAAAGAAAATACTGCCTCTCTGAACACAGAAAAAGGATACAAAAAATTGTGGAGACTAACAAAAGCATTAAATGATGGCAACCAATCTCAAGGAAAAACAGTTCTCCCAAGAAGGAAATCTACTCAAAGGAAAGGAAGCATCTAAGTCCTCAAAGAATTGGTCTAAATCCTTCTAACCGTAATTTCCATTGCACAGAGCATATTTAAAAAAAAAACTGAACTAATTTTCCTACTTGTAGTTTCCAGCTGATAATTCTTTCCGAAATGTTGTTAACCTGGAGTATATTTTCTGCAATTTCGGGATCGATGATAAATTCTACTCCATGCTTTGCACGTTTATTTTCTCTACTCCTGATTGAATCAAAACGTGATTTTTATGTAGTTTCTTCACTCCTTGTCCTTTCAATCTCACTTCTGATAAGCCTAATACTTCAACATTATATTTCTCCATTAATTCTATCACTTGTTCTGCTTTACTGCATCATCCATATATACTAATTGTCCCTACCCCGGTCTTAACCTTCTGCTGGTCTCTTTTTTCCCTATTTCTAAAACATCTCCTATTTTCACTTTGGACATTTCTTTTTGAACCGCTGAATCCTCTCACGACTTGCTGGGCCTGTGGCAAATTCATCTTCAAATGAACACCTACACTAAGCTAACACATTTAACATACTTTATTACACTTTATTATTTATTATTACTTTATTATTTCCTTGCTGGTGCTTAACCATAGACTTTTAATGCTGTTTAATCTCTGCATTGCTATAGTCATCCTCCTTTTGATTTTTATCAAAGTCTCCATTACTAATTATTATAGAGCATAGATATTTTAAAGTTTATGACACTTTCAATTTTTTTTCATCATTTATTGTTATTTATGGGTGACACCCAGTTTTTGTCTGGAAATTATTTTAATTTTCTTTAAATTCAAGAATAGGTTTTGATCTTCATTGTGTTTTGGCTTGAACAATGAGTTTCTTGGGATAATGGTGAGGTAGTTTCCCCTTGCTTTCCTCATCCATGTGGCTTTAGACTATGCCACGTGGCAGTTTCTTGGGATAATGGTGAGGTAGTTTCCCCTTGCTTTCCTCATCCATGTGGCTTTAGACTATGCCACGTGGCAGTAGACTATGTCATAAGCCTTCAGCAACTTTATAGGTCGACAGGGCAAGTAAGTGCTCTACTAACAGCAGAGGGCACCCCAGAGATGTACACTTATCCTGGTGGATACTCAGCCCCCATAGCTGCGTTGGCTGCACTGCAGTGTGTTTACCATCCTCTACTGCACGGAAGTGCAGTTGGGGTTTTCCTTTCGCTAAATCTTGAGACCAGAATGTCATTTTCCTAAAACTCTCTTACACAGTGGAACAAGAGGCAGAATGTACTACTGGATGCAGTTCTCTAGTTATTTCTATTCTATTTCTTACTTGTATGTAGACTAAGACGTCATTAGCAAACGTCAAAATTCCTCTATACCACTGCCTCTATACTGCTTGTGAACACATTTGAAAGCACTGGGAAAATAGTGGATCCCTGTGGGAGATCAGGTGCGACACTAGAGTTCCTGGCTTCACAAGCCTAGGTGAAAGACAATCTTTTGTTCATATAGGACAGCTGCAATCCAGCTGACAATCCAGGGACTTACCTCCATATCCATAAGTGTGTACAGTGAAATGTCATTCCTAACCCTGTTATATGCATCTTCTAGATTCAGTTCCACCACCACTGTTTTATGCTTATTCTGAAGTCCCTCAAATGCACTATAAGCCAGTAGCACTGCATTTCTCCAAATGTCTTTTCATGGTCAGTAACTCTGAACCCTCTCAGTTAAAGTTGATATTTTTCTACTTAATCCTGTAACTTAGCTCGCTACTATAATTTTTTTTCCAATAATAAATGTATCTCCAAAAGTGTGTACAGCAAAACATCATCCCTAACCCTGTTATCTGCATCTTCTAGATCCAAAGCCCTGATGAAATTACAGAACACTGTGGCAGTCCTAGAATGACAGTGCATGGTTCCAAAGTTCATGTACCCAGGTGAAAGGTAACCATATGTGAATGCAAGACAGCAACCTTCCAGTTAACCAGCTTCAATTCACAGTGGTATCACAGAAACATTCAGGATACCTTATGCCTGCGCTTGTTTGCACTGCCATTTTAAGACCATGAATTTGCTTATTATATAAGTTTTCTTTACTTAATCGATTTCCAGTTCAAACACATAATGACAACTTATTCCACCACTGGATACCTCAGGGAAGTCAATGTGTTTGTTAGATGCTGTGTAATTATAACATGTTTGATGTGTTTTTAGACACAGTAATTATAACATGTTTGATGTTTTTTTAGACACAGTAATTATAGCATATAAAAAATTACAATACATCTTTCCCAGTAAAGACGGGTGTAAGACAGGGATGTGTTATGTCATCTCTCCTCTTCAACCTTGTGATTGATTGGATACTAAAGAACACAGTAGACAGGACATTAAGAGGCATGATGATATAGCACTCCTATCACATACTGGGAATGAAGATTGCAAGGACAGCTGCTTTGGAAGGATGAGGCAAATCTGGAAATCCAACAATTACTGCAGAGAAAACTCACTCTACAAGAGTATCATTTTGCCAGTTCTTCTTTATGGAGCGGAATGCTGGAGAATGACCAAAAAGGATGCACACAAGCTGTCCACCTTCCACCACACATGTCTACGTAGAATTATCAAAATTTTCTGGCCAAATACAATCTCAAACACTAAACTACTTCAAGCCACAAACCAAGAAACTTTAGACAGTATGATTACAAAGAGAAGATGGAAATGGCTTGGCCACGTTATGAGAATGACTTCTGATATACCTGCCAAAACAGCTCTCACCTGGACACCAGAGGGAAAGAGAAAACAACATGGAGATGAACGATGGAAAGTGACCTGAGTGCGGCATCTTTGACATGGAAAACTGCAATGAAGATTGCACAGGACAGGAAAGCATGGAAAGTCCTCTCTGAAGCTTCATGTGCCACTAGGCATAACGAGAACTGATGATGATGATGAATTATAGCATGTTTAATGTGTTTGCGGCCAAAAAAAACATTATCGTCCGTAGCAACATAGACAAGCCAAATGCAAAGGTGACTGCCCTTGCAAAAAAGTATTGAAGGGTCAGGGAGATTCAGGGCTACATATGTCAGATCTTTCTGTCGGTAGACCACATTAGCTGTTTCCCTTTGAAAGCTGGGTCTAGCCCTCTGGGCATTTGTACGTATGGGATAAAATGGGTGCATTCAGGTCATAAGTCCCTTGACCAGGGAAACTATCCTGGTCAAGACTGTTGTGCATGACTGCAGAGGCACAAAACTCAATGGATCTAGAGAGACAGTCAAAAGTAAAGGACCCTTTTCCACACCATTAGGTTAATTAATCAAGTAACAGAAAGTATTGTGAACGGCACTCATAGAAAGAAGTAGAAAGATAGAAGAACACACTAGACAACATAAAAATCGGAAGCTATAGTAACCATGCCGAGAATTGAACCTGTCACCTCCAGACGGCGTCTGCGCCTCGCCATGAATACAAGTGCACTAAGATACATGGTCAACTAGGCACCCCCAAAAAAAGGTGTCTCATTGGCCATGTCTATCGTACAGCTTGAAATCTACGACTATGGAATACGGACAGAATTCATTTCAACCCATTGAAATGGCACCATAGGTTACAGAAATTTATATTAACGAAGCAAATGTCGAATAACAATCACAGCAACAGTTTACGAACACAGTAGACCTTATTGCCTTGTCTAGAATACACAAACATTTAAGAAAGGTATTTGATTGGTAGGTTCCGGTGTGTATACGTCATTCCTATAAATAAACAGAGGGGGGAACCATTTGAGTCCGTTAAATATTTTGAATTAATCAAGTAACAGAAAGTATTGTGAACGGCACTCATAGAAAGAAGTAGAAAGATAGAAGAACACACTAGACAACATAAAAATCGGAAGCTATAGTAACCGTGCCGGGAATTGAACCTGTCACCTCCAGACGGCGTCTGCGCCTCGCCATGAATACAAGTGCACCAAAATACATGGTCAACTAGAGGAATCACACCATTAGGTGCACTGAGCATACAGGCTTCTAGTGCTAGACCTATATTTTATAGAACCATTGGCACACAGTAGCTGATGTGGTAAACATCATGCTAGCTGTGTTTACTTTCCAGGACTTTACCTAGAGGAGACAACCTCAATTAAAAATCCCAAGCCTTAGGTAGACCTAAGTGCCAAGTGCTGAACAGCAGTGGGATATGCAGTCTCAAGGGCAGAACAAATCATCCTAGACATACACCTGTGACATCACATGTGCATACTTTTTACCATATGAGTCAACATAAATCCATTTACTACTAAAAGAATCTATTATCGTTCAAGACACACTACAAATACAATGTTTAACCAATATCACACAGCTAAAAAAATTTCTATTGAGCATAACATTTGACCAAATATTGAAAATAATGCATATTGTTATAAAAGAAGTTTTCATTCCAGTTATAACAAATTTACAGATAATTTATGTGTAAAACTCCCCTGTATTACAAATATTTTGAAATCATTCTTCCTTGTATGGTGATATTAAACACAAGTTTCAAGGATGTTAGCAGCTAAAACAATTAAACTGAAAATATTTGTTATTATTTGTTTTTGGTTACTAAATATTAGAATTTGCAATATGTCTTGGGGACTGCTTGATGTAGTGTTTTTAGTCATTTAAATGGTGACAATATCTTAAGTACAGAAACCTCGAATTTGCACAGAAATTACATAAAAGTCAATAGTAAGTGGTAACATTTTTGTGTAAGTTTGTGACCACTAACCTGATTACAATCCATATAGTTAGTTCGCACTTGAAGCTCTGCTCCGAGCTCAGTTCTGGGTGCCTGCAATTTTGCCGTCAACCACTCTTGTGCAGCCTGGTTAGTCTTAGGACCAAATTCAAGGACCACTAGAGGCTCAAAGACCTGTTCTTGTGACATTCTGTCCTATTTTATGAATCTGAGATTAGAGACCACTTGTGTGTTTTTCAAATTACATTAGACAGTCAAAGGTGACAAATAAAAAGCTTTTTTTTTAATGTTATCAAATTGTAAAATGAGAATGACAAGTGGCTTCAAAGTAAGATGCATATTTCTTATATTATCTAAGACTTTTTACCATAATATATGACTGCTTGCTATTTTACTATGATAAGACAAATCATATTTACAAGTACCAAGAAAAGCATATTATGTATATGATTTATTTAAAACTCAAAAATGAGAATGACAAGTGGCTTCAAAGTAAGATGCATATTTCTTATATTATCTAAGACTTTTTACCATAATATATGACTGCTTGCTATTTTACTATAATAAGACAAATCATATTTACAAGTACCAAGAAAAGCATATTAAGTATATGATTTATTTAAAATATAAATGAACATACAAAATGGTCACTTAACCATGACAGATGACTGACAGAAATTGTAATTCAATTACTCACTGGTTACAAGGCTGTGTACAAATATACAATACTTTAGATTTAGCCTTAATTTTGTTTTGGACACATTTTTGGACAGTGATTCATAAGTGTAATTTGGCATTCCTATAAGGACAAAAATATGACAGGTCTGGCAAAACAGTAGTGAATTAAATGCTGACCAAAAACCGGTCTAGAAAATGTACATGAAATCAGGAGATGTATGAGGAAGACTGCTAACAAAACCAGAAGGTCATGTCAGCAAAGAACTTTTAGAAGAATACCCATCATTACATTTACATAGAAACAGGCTGAAATGGTTAGGCCACTTGATCACAATGAATATCGTAGGGCTCCATTTTGAATGAGACTCTACTTTTTAACCTTGTTTCTTCACTCTTGTAGTTTGATTTTCAAGGTATTTTGAGATCCACCCCAATTTCAAGTAAAAATTTTCAACACCTTGTTGAAGGCCTTTTTTAAATCCACCAGACTGCATTGGTATGCTTCTTTTCCTGGAAAACATCTATTTGTTGTGCAACAAATGTAATTTCATCTTCTGTGGAAACTAGCCTGCTGGAGGTTCTTCTCAAGACACCAAGTTAGTCATGATTTGATCTGATTCAAGAACTGACATCACAGCACTCGGGGCATTCCCATAAGCGCTCCGTCCCCATCTTCAGCAGCCAGTAAAGGGTTCCGATACTAATGGTGCCAGTAGCATTCTGATTAAACGTCCGTCTTGCCTTTCCTCTGAGCCTCGAGCATGTGCCAGAACCTCTCGTCACTCCCAAATGCATCAATCTCACCACACGGTGGTAATCAATCTGCTCCTCCAAACTGTACAAGCTCTCCCACAAGGCACTAACCAGGTCTGCCTTATCATGCATCAATATTCCACCAAGCTGTGCAGAGTCAGCCAGTCTGTCTGACTGTTCATTTCTCAACACACCGGCATGACCTGGTAAAAAAATACAGACAATACTCCTCACCCGTGTCTTCCGCAGCGAGGCATGCCACTCTGCTCTAAGCATGCCTGTCCTGATCTTCCTCAGTATGCTTTCTGAGTCAGTTACAATCACAATGTGTGTGTGTGTGTCGTGTTCTCTAGCCAGCGGAAAGCCACAGTGAACGCCTCCATCTCCATTCTTAAGCTAGATGTTGTGGTATCATATGCTAGGCTCTCCTGCGCCAAATGTCGACCATTTACTTTTGCAAAGAAACCCAAAGCACTTCTTTTGCTTCTTGACACTGAACCGTCTGTGTAAATGATCAAATCTTCTGATTAATTAATAGCTGAATTTCCACCTCCGTAGCACCTGCTGGCCAGGCTCAATGTGATTACGACCCTACACAAGTCTGACTGTTCAGGTGGCACTCTGACCCACTCCTCTCCTCACCTAATGTTCTCAAGGATGCAAAAGTTAGTCAGTCATTTACTAAACTTTCCAAAAGTTTTAACATTGTGTTTGTGATTTTATTGTTTTTAACAGAAGGTCTTATAATAACAAACAGTTTTTTCAACGTAGACGCAGTCAAACTAAAACCTGGTATAAATGGGACAATTTAGAGCAGGCTTTCCAAATTGACTTCATTTTCTTCAGGAAGACAAAACGAAGACAATTAATAGATTCAAGAGTCCTACCAAACACAAACATTGATACAGATCATAGACCAGTTATCATAAAAAAGAACACTGAGTACAGAAAACCAAGACATAAAATAGTAACCACAGATGTTATCAACTTCCGGAGGCTTCAGGATAATGCGGTTAAAGATGAGATTCAACAAGAAATGTCAGAGCTACTAAATAACCTTCCAGGCGAATATTCAGACATCAATTCAGAGTGGACTTGTTTTAGGACGGCTTTGCTCAACACACTTCAAACCAAATGCGGAGTTAGAAGGGTGGGTGGTGTAAAACGTTTAAGAACTATTTGGTGGAACAACGAAATTAAAGACATCATATCCAGAAAGAAGGAGGCTTATAAAAAATGGATAAAATCAAAATCATATCAAGATTATATACATTACAGATTAGAAGAGAAGCAAAATGCAAAATTAAAACATCTAAAGACGAGTCTTGGAGAAATTATGGTCAACAGATGGCTACCCTTAGCAAGAACTCCCCTAGAGAATTCTATAAACATGTAAAAATCATAAGAGAAAGAGACATAAGCTACAACCCAACAACTATCATCAACAACAAGAGAGGAATACCTCTATTTAGTCCACAACAGAGGTTGGCAAGATGGGCAGAGTATTTTCAAGAACTTCTCAACCCCACAGGCAACGTAGATAATTTTAACTTTGTACCTCAAAGCTGCGAACAAGAGGAACCAAATTTCATAGCAGCGGAAGTAAGAGCAGTTATACAAAACTGCCCTAGAAACAAGGCACCAGGTCTGGATGGAATTAATACAGAAGGGATCCAAGCCTGCGGTGAAAGGGTGTTAAATGGCTTACTAGAATGTTTAATATAGCTTGGGAAGAAAGAAAGGTTCCAGCTGAGTGGCAACAGGCATAAATAGTACCGATAGGGAAAAAGAAAGGTAATAGGAGAGAATGTGAAGCATACAGAGGTATTTCCCTACTGAGTCACTTAGGAAAAATGTACGCCAAATTACTAGAACAAAGAGTTAGACCCATAGCAGAACAACAGCTGAGTGCATCACAATTCGGTTTCAGAAAAAGGATAGGATGCACAGATGCATTATTCACTCTGAGGCAAGTGTGTGAGAAAGCCATTGAGTATAATACCAAACAGAATATTGTGTTTATTGATCAGGAAAAGGCTTTTGATAGAGTGGAAAGAAACAAACTGTGGTCTGTTCTTGAGAACTACGGGGTAAAAGGACAGTTACTAGAGAACATCATAGCCATGTACCACACAAGCCAAAGTGCAGTAAAAACACAAGAAGGCATATCAGATATGTTCACAGTCAACACAGGTGTGAGACAGGGATGTGTGATCTCCCTACTTTTATTTAACATCTATATAGACAGAATATCTAAAGAAGCAAGTTATGATACAGACAACATAGACCTTTATAATCACGAGGAAGTACATACATCAGGAGAAGTAATCGATTCACCCACATTAAACGAACTACTATTTGCTGACGACCAGTGCTTGTTTTACCCTGAAGAACACAGACTGCAAGACCACATTAACAGGTTAAACTTAGCATGTAGTAAATACAACATGAAGATCAATGTAAACAAAACCGAAACAATGCAAGTTAGTAGACATTCTGCCGCATTACACATACAGCTGAATGGTTCTGCCCTGAATCAAGTTAGAGAGTTTAAATATCTAGGAAGTATGATCACAGAAGATGGTAGAATTGACAGAGAAATAGAAACCAGATGTCAGAAAGCAAGTGCACTTATATACGAATTGTCACCATTATTAAGACATCCAAGCATAAGTATGAGTGCAAAGAAACAGATTTTTAATAGCATATTTATTCTAACATTAAGCTACCAGTGCCAAACACGGACACTATCTAAAGCCCATATATGCAAAATTACCACCTGCGAGATGAGGTGCCTGAGAAAAGCAGCCAACCTAACCATACAAGATCGAGTGAATAATGAAACTATCAGGCAAATTGTGGGAACAAGACCTTGTACTAGATTCATCGAGAAACAGCAGATCAAGTGGTTTGGCCATCTCATTAGAATGCAGCAAGATCAAATACCATCACAAGCACTACATCTCAGAAGACCAACTACAAGAGCAAGAGGACGGCCGCGGAAAATATGGATCGACAACATTAAAGACACTCTACGCCTTCACAGCATGACAATAGCCAGTGGCAGCCAACGGGCACTGGAACGCAAATTATTCCTCCCCACGACGCTTAACGGCAGAAGTGGTTTATGATGATGATGATGATGAACAGAAGGAAGACAATCTGAACAGGCAGACAGTGAGGCTTATGAGTCTGTAGATGACAGCATTGTTCTTCCACTTTCCTTGCTTGAGTATTACAAATATTTCAGACTTCCTCCAGGTTGGGGGGACTACATAAAAATTTCAGTTGGCATTAAAGATAAAAGACTAAAGTTTAAAACAAGCTCAACACTTTAAATACTTAGGGAGTATCTTTACATATCACGGCAGAATAGACAGAAAGATTAAAACAAGAATTCAACAAGCCAATAATGTCACAAATCACCTGACCCCAATTTTGAAACACCCAGATATCCCAATGATAAAAAGACGAATTATAAACGCAGTCTTCATCCCAACCTTGTGACCTTAGACATTAAACTAAAGAACACAAAGAAAAAATTAACCACCTGCGAAATGAGATATCTGAGAAAGTCAGTGTAGCAATTCATTCAAGATAATGCTCGCTCAAAGGATTTGATCATTTACACAGACGGTTCAGTGTCAAGAGGCAAAAGAAGTGCTTAGGGTTTCTTAGCAAAAGGTAACGTGTTTGGTTGAGAGCCTAGTATGATACCACAACATGCTTGAGAATGCAGGTGAGAGCCTGCAGCATAT